CACCGCGCAAAGCCGCGACCGAGAACCTGGTCCGCAGCCGACGGACCATCTTTGTCGGATGCCAGTCCCCGCCTATCTTCGAGAACTCATCCGCAAGGAGGGTGGCTTTGGTGCTTAAGGCGTCAAGGTCACGGGAGCTCACCGTGACTCCATGCGCTTTGAGCGCGAGGACAATCCGCGAAACGCGTGTCAAGTAGTCCGCGACCGGTTCTTGGTCTGGACGGAAAATCGCGCGCAGCTCCGCTTGCAAGCCCTCTGCGGTGCCTGGCACTGAACCTGCTGTCGACGGACCGGTCCCGCCGGGCGGGACCCTGGTGCCGTAGCAGGGACATAGGCAGCACCGGTAGGGACCATGGCCAGCTCCCTAGCCGCGGCGCTGACGTCCACCCGCGGCGGACTGTCGCCTCCAGCGCCCGAGGCCTCAGGGACTAGCTCGGAATCCTCTTCTTCTTCCTCTTCATCCTCGTCCTCCTCTTCGGCGTCATGGAGGAACTTCATGACTTTTCGCCAGAGAGCCGCCTCTTGCTCTGGCGTTGTGCTGACCCCATCCCGCTTGGACAACGGACGGCTGCCGGTCTCCCTACGCCACTTAAGCCAAGCGACGTAGCTCATCCGCTCGGGATAGGGAACGTCACCACCCTCGATCGCTTCGAGGAGGGTGACGCCCTCGGCCTGACCTGCAACCTCTGCGGACATCGCCGCGCCTTGGTTAGCAGGCCGCAGGCGTGGCACACGGAGCGCCGCGCCTTGGTTAACAGGCCGCAAGCGTGGCACACAGTCCACGCGTCCAGGTCACGGACCGCGACAGACAAGCAAAGCAATGCTTGCCCACTCGGGCCGTAGGCACAAGAGCTGTACGTTTCCCAGAACAGCCCCCAATTGTGAAGTCGACCAGCACTGGACTTGCACTAAGCCAATGCAATCACAGCCCGGTCACGCTGTTTTACGACTTCGCGAGTTCAAGCACTTGTGCAGCTACGCCTGAGTGCGTCCGGTCGGACCGCACAGCAACCTAAGAGCTACTGTACGAAACTACCGTGCTCAAAGGCACAAGCTCGGTACTTGAGCCAAAACATTGGCATTGTTACGAATTGCAAAACTACACATGCAAAGGAAAACTACTACAGTACTGGTCCTGGCAGCTTTGCACATGCAGCGTGCGTGCATAGACCTGCTCACAGTATATGTATATGTATATGTATATTTATATGTATATGTATATGTATGTATGTGTATGTAGATATAAATAAATACATTCATATTAATATATATATATATATATATATATTCCCAGTTATGTATGTACATGTATATATATATATACATATATACATATTTCTGTATATAAGTGTATGTGTCTGTAGGCATGCAAGGCATTTGTATATCATATTATATATATATACATATATATATATATATATACATATATATATACATATATATATATGTGTATATATATATATATATAAATATGCAGAAGCTTTGTATACAGAAATGGTACACACACATGTGTAGGATATGTATGACTGCATATCCATATCTATATCGATATGTAGAATAAGAATAAGAATAAGAAGAAGAAGAAGAAGAATAAGACTACCGTATCATATGATATCATATCATATAAATTCATACCACATAATAGAGTATTATATATGTATGATACCCAGATCTATAAACCTCTTTGTATTTGTATATACATATATATATATATTTACACATACATATATAGATATATACATAGAATGGTATGCATTATGATGTTACGAATACATGCCATATGGGGATGAGGGTTGAGGCTTTAGCTAGGGTTTATGGCCAAAACAACTCGCTGCATATGCCCTCTACATAAATAAATATAAATATAAATATATATATATATGTATATGTAATCTGCACCCAGAACCCACCCTAAGCCCTAAGCCCTAAACACACCCGCAGCATGTATGGTGTGCCCACACCATTGGCTGCCCTTGAGGGCTTAGGGAAACCGCTGAACCTAGCCGGACCTCAAACCCCCAAAAACACAAACCCCAAACCCTACACCAGATGCTTTTCAGCCCCTGCCAGGCGCCTGTCCAGAACGCCCACGAGGCCACCGGAATGCACGGTGGCTGGGCAGCGCCTGGGGTTTAAGCTTGCTTGAGGAGGGTTCAGGTTTATGGGTTGGGGGTGGGGCGGAGGGGGGGGGGGGGCTGGGGTGCCCGAGCTGGGGTGCCCAAACTGGGGTGCCCAGGTGCCCAGTTTGCCCAAACTGGGGTGCCCAAACTGGGTGCCCAAACTGGGGTGCCCAAACTGGGGTGCGCAAACTGGGGTGCCCAAACGGTGAGGTGCCCAAACTGGGGTGCCCAAACTGGGGTGCGCAAACTGGGGCGCCCAAACTCAGATCCAACCTGAGGTGCCCAAACTGGGGTGCCCAACTGGGGCGCCCAAACTGGGGCTGGCGTGCCCAAACTGAGGTGCCCAAACTGGGGTGGGGGGGTAAGGGGGGGGGGCTGGGGGGGGGGGCGTGAAAGGGCTCAATAAGGTTTCAGGTTTATAAGGTTTAGGGTTTATGGTCCGTACACTAACAACCCAAAACCAGTTACCCTAAACCCTAAACCCTAAACCTTATAAACCCTAAACCGTAAAACCCTAAACCCTAAACTGAACCTTTTGTACGGGATCTATGTAGGATCAGATAGAGAGATTTAGGATCACAGGTTCCTTCAAGCTGCCCCCTGCGAGGCACACACACACACACACACACACACACACACACACACACACACGCAGCAAGCAGTTGATATGTGCGGAGCAAGTTTTCCTTTTCAAAGCTCTCCTTGCCCCAGAGAAAGCATCATCACTATGCCACACATATCACACATGTCCCCGAGGCCTTCGCTATTCGTGGCGTCAGGATAGGCTAGCTGCAGCTGGCACGTGTGCAATGCGAAGCCGGAATCTTCAGTAATTAAAATTAAGCAAACATGTGCTGTCAGAACTCAGCTGACACAGTTCGTCAAAAGGTACTCCACGGCTGACTTGCGGGCAATTCCCACGTAGTGCTCGAAGCTGCCTTTGCCCTCCTTGGCGGCCGCCATCAGCTTGGGCTTCACAAGCGCCCAGAAGGGGTCCTGTATGACAGAGTAAATGAGGCACAGTGTAACAACAAAGCCAGGCGACTAGAGCACTGCACGGGTGAGCTATCATGCATGTGGGTTTCTAATTGAAACACAGGCGCCTGATGGGAAGAAGGGCTTGCGACCTTGAAGTAGATCTTGGAGTTGAAGGTGTCACGAATGGCTTGCCACTGGTCCAGGGCATCCGGTGTCTTGGGCTTTGGCCTCTTGGCGAATGACTTGTCCTCATCAGAGAGTCGGATTCGTTTCTTGGGCTGCGTGGAACCAGCGGCCTCCCCCCCTGCAGCTTCAGGCTCGGCCTTCTTCCCAGCCTTTGTCTTGGGAGCCACCTTCTTGGAGGATGTGGGGCTTGACTTCTTGGGCTTCGGGGAAGGGGTCTCAACAGACTCGTCATGATCACTGCTTGTAGCAGCAGCCAAGGCTTTGCGGCCCCCGCCGCCCCGACCGCCACGACCGCGCCCAGCCCCTCGCCCACGGCTGCGACCACTGGATGTGGCACTTCGGCCTGCTGGTTTTTTCGGGGGTGTGCCTGTAGACTTCTTGTTCTTCTTGCGACCGTCCGGTGGCACGCTCTGGGCTTGCTCAATGCGCGTGGGGTTGCCCTGCCACGATTTTGCAGGGAGTGGATAATTCCGAACCCTAAACCCAAAACACTAAACCTCTAAACCCTTAAACCCTTACCCTTAAAAAGCCTTAGAAACCCTATAAACCCTAAAACCCTAAAGCCCTAGAACCCTGTATAGGCCCTCAACCCTAAACCCTAAAACCCTAAACCCTAAAGCCTAAACCCTAGCCCTCAACCCTAAACCCTAAACCCTAGACCCTGCCATGAATAAATGAAGCAACAACAAAAAAAGAGCACACTATGTAGCAGCCTTGAAGTCAGCAACATCCAGGTCGGAGCCAGGGTCCACCATGTCTGGCTCTGTTGAGCCCTTCGACTCCACCACGTTTGGCTCCGAAGAACCATTCTTGAGATCGTGGTTCGCTGCGGGAACAGCCAACCCCTCGGCAGGCTCCAAGGCGGAATCATCGGACCCTTGCTTTGGCAGGGCATCATCATCATCATCATCATCACCCAACCCTTCAAACCCTTCAGGAACAGCCAAGCCCTCGGCAGGCTCCAAGGCGGAATCGTCGGACCCTTGCTCTGGCAGGGCATCATCACCCAACCCTTCATCACCAAGCTCGTGGCTCGTCGCGGTGTCAAGAGCCTCCGTAGACTCTAGAAAGGCAATAAGCCCACCGGTGCCCTCCATAGACTCTTTAAGGGCAGCCTCAACGGCCAACTTCTCACACGCATCAAGACGTGGCGTGTTTGGTGCTGCCTGTTGCAAGTCATCAGAACCAAGGGCATGAGTGAGGCGTAGCGTTTCCTCTTCAGTGAACCCCCTTGTTCCTAGGTCGGCTTCGCCCTCTTCATCTGAAATTTCGAAGACAGACCCACCAAAGTCCAAGGGCTCAGCAGCCGAGGGCACATATATGCCAAGAATGTCGTGGGGCACCGTGTCGGTCATGGAGGGATCTTCACCTGAACAGCGGGTGCGGGGGAGAGGTTTTTACAATTACACGTAGTGAACCTGCATATGCGGTTTTCAACCCTGCCCCTTAGGGTTTAGGGTTTATAGGTTTAGGGTTTAGGGTACGAGGCCTGGATGCAAAAGGGTTTAGGGTTTAGGTTTAGGGTTTGGGTTTAAGGCTTTCAATTTCAGGTACACTGCCTGCAGCTGCCGGCACGCTGGCGGCCGCAACTGCGCTGGAGGATGCTCTGGCCCCACGATCGAGCAAGGCATTCCTAGCCCACATTCGTTCGGGATGTAACTTGAAGCGATACGTTGAGGATTTCAAGTAAGTTGCAACATGCTAGGAAGATGAAGACTAGTGCAAGACAGGAAACTGCAGTATGTCAATCTGCCACTGAAGGTTGGCAATGGTTTCGTGCGGGCTAGGCAGCGGGCTTGATGGGATTGGCATTGCTGGCGCTGGTGAAGGGCTTGGGGGCGGGCTGGGCTCTGGGTATGGTTCTGCTGGGACATCCTCTGCCTCAGCAGGGACATCCTCTGCCTCAGCAGCTCCCGCAGGGCCATCCTCATCTGCACTGTCCACCGCTTCCTCCGCTTGTTCTCCCCAAGACGCTGTCATAGAGTCGAACAACGTTGCCAAGCTTCTGTCCTTAAAGAACTGTATGCAACACAGACTCTGTGTGCTTGCCTACAAAACACATATATCTCTTCAATTGAGGGTCCCGGAGCATATGGATGGGAGCCTTCCAGCGCCGAATGGAGAGACTGATCAAACGTTTGCACCCCCAAGCATCGACGTAAATGGAGAGTGACTTGTCGCCATCACTTCCACTGGTGAGCAGGGCATAGAGCTGGCCAACCTCATGAGGCACATATGTACAATAACCGCAACTTTGAAAAAAACGATGCTATGGTATATGCACACATCTCCCGCCTCCTGCTTCAGCCAGTGCACCGGAGGGCTCTTCGCAACATGGGAATGTGCGCTCCAAACATCAATGGCCAGCTCAATGGCCTTTCTGTTAAGAGAAAGGGCACGGAGGCTAGCCACACCCACTAGGTTCGGCTTCACCCAAGTCAACAGAGCACTGCTGTTCGAACGGAATGTTGCCCGGATCAATGGGCTAGTTTCCCACGCATTGGCAAGGGCAAACTTCTCAGGCCAGACAAGGCCTTCCACTACCTCCCCCATTTTGCCAGTGACCAAAATAGTCGAGCCAGCTGAATACACGAAACAAAGAGTGCATGGGCACGGCTTGCTTGCAGGTTCTCATGAAGCTTGGTGAGATCTGCAGGCTGGTGTGGGCTTGCATATCTATGCACTGCATGTCCCGGCCTCAAAAGATTCGAGACCAGCTCACCATGAGAACCTGCGCTGTGGAATTTAATAGCAAAAATCATGTGCAATAGCTGGTTGTCAAGAGCTGTCTACAGCAGGATTGCACATGTGACATCGAGTCAGAACACGATACTTTTCACGCAGATTGACCCCACAGCGTGCCAACTCTAGATCAACAGGCCCATCTTTGATTTGATGTTATCTGTATCGATCATCCATGCCCATCAGTTCCCGCTGCGCACGTGCCAGGGCAGATCCACTTCCTTGTGCGGCGCAGCTCCTGGCAGGGCATGTGTGGACATGGTGGAAAAAGGAACCACTGTGGCCTTGAATATATGTCTAGGCGTCGATCGACAATGCAACCTCGCTTTGCCCCGTCCTGGTGAGCAGTACATACGCTTGAAATGCCGGCAGATGCCACCAAACTGTACATTCTCTACGATCACCGTCATGAGGACGTCGCAATGTGGTACATCCTGAGGGATCTGTGCGCATGAGTTTAATTTGCTGAAGCTTCCAGAGTGTAAACTATATGGCTGCACTGTCAAAGAAGCAAGGTTCCCAGTCCTCTGCCTGGGGAAACAGAGCCATCGTGCACACATTCCAAAACTCCTCCGGAAGAAGCAGCAATCCTGCGGGCGACAATCACTGTTGGAAGGATCCCTATATGTCTGTGTGGTGCCTTCGGCGCCAGCAACAAAACCTTCTTTCCGGGTCCTTCACCATACGCCAGGCGAAGGGAGGCAAGAGAACATTGAACTAAGCAGGAAGCAGCCATCAGGAGCTTTGAAAAGTTGTTTCGATGGGACCAGGGTACATTCAGCAAAAAGCCTCAACAGATGCAACAGTCCCGGCACAAACAAATGCAACCGCACAGTCGCTCGAAGAAGCTGTGCAAGCAGGGCGGTGGCGCACTGTGACTAGGCCGCAGCAGTGCACATGCTACGAGCAGGACTTTCAACATCATCTGGGCCACTGTTGGCCACTGTTCAGCCACATGTTGCGGACAAACAACTGGCTGCCATGCTGAATATCTGTTTACATTTATTAAGGCCCGCCCTGCCCCCCCCCCCCCCCTACCCCCCCTCTCCCTTTCTCCCCCCTTCCCATTGACCCCTGTCAACACGGAAAACATAAGAAATGTAATTATTTTTTTTTGAATGATCATTCAGATATAAACGGTAATCCCTAAAAGCATACTTATTTTGCATACTTAAGGTTCTCAAGGTAATACATACATACATACTACATAGAGTAAGGATATATAAATATAGAGAGAGAGAGGGCGAGAAAGAGAAAGACAAAGGATGAAGGAGAAATGAGAAAGGCGAAAGGAGAAAGGGAAAGAGAAAGAGAAAGCGAGAGAGAGAGAGAGAGAGCGAGAAAGAGAAAAATAATGAGAATGAGAATGAGAAAGAGAGAGAGAGAGAGAGATAGAGAAAGAATGATAATGAGAAAGAGCAAGAGAAAGAGACGGAGAGAGAGAGAGAGAGATACGACGAGGGGAAATCTCGCTTGTAAAGTCCTCCGGACCCTCGGGGAAGACTTGCAGTGATGGGGTAGAATGGAAGTTTCAGTCTTTCCGGGGGGGGGGGGGGCCCTACACGTCTCACGCCGACCTGGATATGGACTGGGCGCGCCTCATGCGCGGAGGGTGCATGCGTGCGCCCTTCAAGCCCAGAAGAAGAAGAAGAAGAAGAAGAAGAAGAAGAAGAGAGATGCAAAAAGAGAGAGTTCCAAGCCCTCAGGAAGTAAAAGCGCTTTACACGCCTTCTCGAGCTCCACTACAGCTACAAAAACAGCCTTCCAGAAAGCCCTTAAGGAGACCCCCTAAGAGGAGGAGACCTAAGAGGAGACCCCAAGTCCAGGCCTTGACGCTTGGATGCAGCTCGGTGGGCTGCGGCGCCACGACCCCGATCGCCGCCCGGCACGAGGGGTTCTTGGAGAGGAAAACCCCAAAGCGAAAGCCCAGAGAAAGCCATCGAAACCTCTTCAAGGATGGAGAAGGATTTCTGCAGGGGTCGAAGGGTGGTTCGGTTTTTTGCTTGGAAAAATGGTTCTTCACAGGACTCTCTCCGGGGCTTCTTGTTTGGTTCGCCAGGGGCCTCGGAGGGCGGCAGCAGAAGCAAACATCAGGGAATCTGTCCGGAGTTGGAACTTAGAGGGCTGTTTAGGGTTCCAGCGTGTTCTCTTCGGGGTTTCGCAGAACTTTGACTGTGTACCTGTTACTTGACACCTTCCTGATTTTGAATCCCACGCAGCTGCGCATCCCCCGCGAGGAGGTGAGATGCACGGTGACAGCGGAGCAGGACAGCGGTGTGCCCACGCACCGAAGCCAACTTACGGGGACATGTTGTGTGATGTGGGGAAGCTCACGAGTTGGGCGAAGATCACAGGGAGCATCCTGAGCCTGAACTCCAAACCGAACTCAAAGAAACCCTCAGCCTGTCCTTGGGTTTTTTGGCCTTGTTTCAGGCGGACGGGCTCAGCGCCAGCGCGCCGTTGGAAGTCCTGGCCGGTGGTGTGCCTCTGCTTGAAATACAAAGCAAGGCAGCCCCAAGAGGCGCCCGACGCACTCTCAGGGCGTCGCAATGCTAAATGCGACGAAGAACCAGCTCAGGTTGTAGGACTTGAGGCTCAGGCTTTCAAGCTTTCAGAAACTTTCAGACTTCATGACAAGAATTCGGGTTCTCTGAGATCGGCTACGGCTCCGTGCCCGTGGTTCTCCGCGGCTCTACCAAGAGCTCAGCACCTGCTGTGCATCTTGTCTGAGCTTGTGCAGTTTGTGTCGGGCCTCGAAGTAGAATTGAAATCTCAGAAGCCTTGACCTTTGGAAAGTCTCCATCTCTCCATCTTTTTGTTGGCAGGAGAGCCTGTCCACCCTCGTGCTTTTCTGTGGTGGCCCCGAAGCCCCAAAGCTCCGAGCATGACCCTTGCCAAATGGAAAATTCAACAGTTGCATGCTCCATGCTTCTGCAAGGCTTTGCGTAAAAGATCAGCGATATTCAGAGGGGCTTGGACTTGGATTTGCATCAGGAACCCGACGGGAAGCTCAGGGAGTTACTCGCTCTCGTGCGCACCTTCTGCAAGCAGCTGGGCGGCATTCGCGCCCAGCGCTGAGGCTCGTATATTGTCAAATATGACTTGAAAAAGCCCTGGAATGCTTAATGCCCGCGCACCAGCTCGCGCACCAGCTTTCTCAAAATATGACTCATATGACCATGCCTCCCATCAAGGGAGCCTATTGTACAAGGGCACTTCATGCTCGCATGGCCTAGTTGCTTCAAAGCATTAGAGTGTCCGGGCTTCAGGCTCTGTTCAATACGGGGGTTAACCTTCCCCCAAGTATGAGGATCCCCTACCCCAAAATTTCGGAAACCAAAGGTAGCTGGCTGGACATCGACTCGTCCGGCCGACTGTCGCTGAAGTCTGGGCAGTCCACTGGCCGGGGACTTGGCCCTCCGAGCCGCGGGGACGCCACGACACACTTTCTCAGACCTCCGTCATCCGTCATGAGGGCGTTTGTCTTTGCGAGTTTGTCAACGAGAAGGCTTGTTCATTAACTTGAGGCCACCGTAGTACGGAAGCCCTGCTATGTACCAAAAAAAGTCTCATGGTAGAAGTTCCTCAAGAACCCCAGAAAAGCACAAGTTTGTGGTGGACTCCAGGTTTGCATTCGATGACAACGTGTTTTTTTCCAACCGCCTTGCAGGTGCTGGCGGCGTTACGGGCTCCGAGGGCAAGATGGGCGAAGGCCTTTGTTATTAGCTTGGGGACCTCAAAGGGCCAAGGGAGATTAGCATTGCTATCGTTGTTAGAAAAACAACAGTTCTCATCATAACCAGTATTATCATCACTGTTACTATTGTTATGATGCCATGGGCTACTTTACCATGATGGGCAGCGGGTTGCCACATGTCCGCGCACTTTTTTCAGTGTCTTTCAGAGTTCGGGTGCAGTTTGATGTTGTGGCCTGCGCACTTTAACTTGAGAAACCTGCAACAGGCGGCGTTTGCTCGGTACAGAAGGGCACGGACACTTGGCAAAAGGCTCGGTTCAGGTCGAGGGCTTATGTTTGCTCATCTAAGGGCCGTATTCGGACACTGCGAGCGCATGGACCCCCATCAGACATCAGAGGCCTATCGAAGCCTTTCTCTGAAATATGAAGCATTCGAAATCTGCCCAGACCCTGAACTTGAGGACCTTGTCAAACGAGGCCACAGTACTTTTACAGTCACGTACTGCCTGCCCCCCCCAAACCCTCAACAGCTGAACCCAAAGCTTTGAAGCACCGCCTTTTTTTTGAAGTTTCTTGAAGAGCTGAGGCCAAGGGCTCGGTCGTGGTGGTCGCACCGACGACGTGGTCGGCTCTGAGCTACAGCTCCTAGACGTCCTAGACCCCATATGACCCCATGGCCTCAGGAGTTCAAACCGTAAATGCCGCAAACCAACGATCCTCAACATCAACAGCCTTTAAAACCCTTAATCGATTCCACTCGAAGGGAATACTATGGAGGCAAAGAAGCTGATTGCCAAGTCGCCACCTTGGCCTTTAATCGCCAGGACGGCAAGGAAACGATTGAAACGAGTTCAAACGACAGAAGGCGAGAACGTCTTTGCCGGACTGCGGAATGCCTGAAGGTGCTCGCGTTGAAAAGCCTAGGGGGACCTGGGGCTTCGGAGAGAGCGGCTCGCGTCTCACATGGGGGTTTAGGATAAGAAGGGACCCCTACAAAAAGACCCAAAAAGAAGGATCCCCTTATAACAAGGACCCCTTCTACGGTACCCCCCAAATTGCGGAAACTTTCATGTAATGTAGCGCTGTTGTCTCCCGTCTCTTGCATGTTTGCTTTATCGGGTTTGGGGTTTAGGGCTTAGGGGTAGGGATGGTAGGGCCTATGTTCCCCCAAGAGTTAAGGATCCCCCATGAGTCTCTGAAGCCCGGCAGAACCGAAGTTAGACCCCCCCATTCCAGGATTCCAGGATCGCAATAAGGGGACCTGATCGCAAGAGGCTGAGACTCAACGAAGAGAGGAGGGGGGGGAGATATGTATATTAGTACTAGTACACCCTAAACCCTAAACCCCCAAAAGCCCAAACCTTAAATGCAAAAACCCTAAACCCAACAGAAGCCTGGGATTCAGTCGAGGCTACGGCGCCAGTCTCCTCTACGCCACTGTCGGGGAGAAGTCCCCAATCCTCTCGCCCACCGCCAGCACAGGCCCGAGAGTTTTTGTTGATTCTTGGGAGGCGACGAGCCTCCGTGGACCTCGTCTAGCCCCACCGTCTTTCGTCCACAGGCCTTAAAAGGGGCCGGTGAGCTAGTTCAGTGGGACAACCCTCCTCAAGAAGGGGAGTTCGCAACAGCAAAAGGGCAAAGGGGACTATGAAGAACAAAGTATTTACATAGCATAATGCACAATGGAACAACAAATAACAAATATACATTCAGAACATATATATATATATAGGACTTGCGATATACATGTTAATTTCAAAAAATCACGTTTGTTTTTTTACAATATATATTGAGTCTAGTGAATCAAGACGGGCTCTAGAAACGACCCGGGGGAGGCCTGAAGCCCACGCGCTTCTCAGCGGACTGCTCGGGCTCGGCCTTCACCTTCGACGTGCTCAGCGGCCTCGCCACCTGGGAAGGTCACCAGCCGCCTGGGCGAAGTTTATGTTCCTTAGCCCTCCGAAGCAGCCGAAATGCCAGATGGTTTTGCAACATCTGGAGTCGAGGGGGCCATGTGGTCGGAAATGTATCCAGCTGATGCTCATGATGCTCCCCTCCTGCCTGGTAAAATGGGCGCAATCACTGGGGCAGATGGTTTTACAAGATCTGGAGTCTAGGGGGGCCATGTGGCCGGAAATGTACCCAGCTGATGCTCATGATGCTCCCTTCCTGCCTCGTCCAATGCGAGCAATCACTGGGGCAGATGGTTTTGCAACATCTGGAGTCTAGGGGGGCCATGTGGCCGGAAATGTACCCAGCTGATGCTCATGATGCTCCCTTCCTGCCTCGTCCAATGCGAGCAATCACTGGGGCAGATGGTTTTGCAACATCTGGAGTCTAGGGGGGCCATGTGGCCGGAAATGTACCCAGCTGATGCTCATGATGCTCCCTTCCTGCCTCGTCCAATGCGAGCAATCACTGGGGCAGATGGTTTTGCAGCATCTGGAGTCTAGGGGGGCCATGTGGCCGGAAATGTACCCAGCTGATGCTCATGATGCTCCCTTCCTGCCTCGTCCAATGCGAGCAATCACTGGGGCAGATGGTTTTGCAACATCTGGAGTCCAGGGGGGCCATGTGGCCGGAAATGTACCCAGCTGATGCTCATGATGCTCCCTTCCTGCCTCGTCCAATGCGAGCAATCACTGGGGCAGATGGTTTTGCAACATCTGGGGTCTAGGGGGGCCATGTGGCCGGAAATGTACCCAGCTGATGCTCATGATGCTCCCTTCCTGCCTCGTCCAATGCGAGCAATCTAGGCGGGCCATGTGGCCGGAAATGTACCCAGCTGATGCTCATGATGCTCCCTTCCTGCCTGGTACAATGCGAGCAATCACTGGGGCAGATGGTTTTGCAACATCTGGAGTCTAGGGGGGCCATGTGGCCGGAAATGTACCCAGCTGATGCTCATGATGCTCCCTGCCTGCCTCGTCCAATGCGAGCAATCACTGGGGCAGATGGTTTTGCAACATCTGGAGTCTAGGGGGGCCATGTGGCCGGAAATGTACCCAGCTGATGCTCATGATGCTCCCTTCCTGCCTCGTCCAATGCGAGCAATCACTGGGGCAGATGGTTTTGCAACATCTGGAGTCTAGGGGGGGCCATGTGGCCGGAAATGTACCCAGCTGATGCTCATGATGCTCCCTTCCTCCAATGCGAGCAATCACTGGGGCAGATGGTTTTGCAACATCTGGAGTCTAGGGGGGCCATGTGGCCGGATGTACCCTAGGGGGAGCCATGTGGCCGGAAATGTACCCAGCTGATGCTCATGATGCTCCCTTCCTGCCTCGTCCAATGCGAGCAATCACTGGGGCAGATGGTTTTGCAACATCTGGAGTCTAGGGGGGCCATGTGGCCGGAAATGTACCCAGCTGATGCTCATGATGCTCCCTTCCTGCCTGGTAAAATGCGAGCAATCACTGGGGCAGATGGTTTTGCAACATCTGGAGTCTAGGGGGGCCATGTGGCCGGAAATGTACCCAGCTGATGCTCATGATGCTCCCTTCCTGCCTCGTCCAATGGGGCGAGCAATCACAATCACGGGGGCAGATGGTTTTGCAACATCTGGAGTCTAGGGGGGCCATGTGGCCGGAAATGTACCCAGCTGATGCTCATGATGCTCCCTTCCTGCCTCGTCCAATGCGAGCAATCACTGGGGCAGATGGTTTTGCAACATCTGGAGTCTAGGGGGGGCCATGTGGCCGGAAATGTACCCAGCTGATGCTCATGATGCTCCCTTCCTGCCTCGTCCAATGCGAGCAATCACTGGGGCAGATGGTTTTGCAACATCTGGAGTCTAGGGGGGCCATGTGGCCGGAAATGTACCCAGCTGATGCTCATGATGCTCCCTGCCTGCCTCGTCCAATGCGAGCAATCACTGGGGCAGATGGTTTTGCAACATCTGGAGTCTAGGGGGGCCATGTGGCCGGAAATGTACCCAGCTGATGCTCATGATGCTCCCTTCCTGCCTCGTCCAATGCGAGCAATCACTGGGGCAGATGGTTTTGCAACATCTGGAGTCTAGGGGGGCCATGTGGCCGGAAATGTACCCAGCTGATGCTCACGATGCTCCCTTCCTGCCTGGTAAAATGCGAGCAATCACTGGGGCAGATGGTTTTGCAACATCTGGAGTCTAGGGGGGCCATGTGGCCGGAAATGTACCCAGCTGATGCTCATGATGCTCCCTTCCTGCCTGATAAAATGCGAGCAATCACTGGGGCAGATGGTTTTGCAACATCTGGAGTCTAGGGGGGCCATGTGGCCGGAAATGTACCCAGCTGATGCTCATGATGCTCCAACATCTGGAGTCTAGGGGGGCCATGTGGCCGGAAATGTACCCAGCTGATGCTCATGATGCTCCCTTCCTGCCTGGTAAAATGCGAGCAATCACTGGGGCAGATGGTTTTGCAACATCTGGAGTCTAGGGGGGCCATGTGGCCGGAAATGTACCCAGCTGATGCTCATGATGCTCCCTTCCTGCCTGGTAAAATGCGAGCAATCACTGGGGCAGATGGTTTTGCAACATCTGGAGTCTAGGGGGGCCATGTGGCCGGAAATGTACCCAGCTGATGCTCATGATGCTCCCTTCCTGCCTGGTAAAATGCGCGCAAGTTCAAGAAAAAGTTATATCGGGAGCTCCGCAGAGTCTCTGAAGAGTCGAAGTGTCAGGATCTTCTCTCTGGACACGACCACGGGGGATCTCCAGCTCAGCCCGGAGGAGAGTTACGTGACGCTTGAGGGCTTAGGAGCTTAAGGAGCTTAAGGCGCTTAAGGAGCTTAGGGAGCTTAGGGAGCTCAGACCCCACCCTCCAAAACCCCCTGCAAGCAAGCCCGTCTTAGGCGCACACGTCGCGTCTAAGGTGCACGCAGCTGTCTGGCGCGTTTTAGGCCGCACACCGGCTCCCGTTTAGTGCGCGCCTTCCCCCAACAACTCTGTTTAGGGTTCAGGGCTTGCCAGCGGCTTCCCACCCAAGAGGCCCCCACGAGAGCTCCTTTTGGGGCCTGGGGCTTTAGAGCTTGCCGGCCAATGTCTAGCAATTTGTCCGCGAGTCTTCCCTTACGCAAGACATTCCCAGCGCTGCCCAAAAGATGCAAGCAAAGTCTGTGCGCCAAACAGCTGAGAGTTGTGGTTGGTTTCAAGCAACCTGTCCGCGAGCCTTCCTGCTTGCAAGCATGCCCAAAGCTCGCCCAACATCTCCTTTTAGGGTTCAGGGTTCTTGGTTTTGGTTTAGGGCTGCCCATGCAATATCTCCTTTTCGGGTCTAGGGTTTTGGTCTTGCTATTCTTTTTTGGGAAAAAAGGGCTTGCCAACATCTCCTTGTCCCCGAACAGTTGTACTGTTGGGGTCCTAAATTCGTTTAAGGAATTGCCGGCTTTCTGGTGACTATTGCCGGGTTCCTGGGCTCCAGGGCCTAGGGTTCTGGGCTTCCCATCCGTTCATGCTATAGGGATTGCCAGCATTTTGAAGCGACCTTGCACGTCTTAAAAAAAGCAGGGGGGTTGGGGTGGGCGCACCCCCATTTGCAAACGCAATGCTGGCAGGATGGGGTTTGGAAAGGATGCATATGCTTTGAAGCAAGCCTGTACAGCTGAAACACCATGCTCGCATGATGTTTGGCAAGGATTGATATTTTTGAAGCCAACTTGCCCGCATGTGAAAGCGCTTTACGATTTGGGGTTGAACCTTTCGGGCTTCCGAGCCCCTAAACCGAAACAACCTTCAGCTGCATGGCCTACATGGCAAAGTGGCAGGGGTTTTAGCTGTGTTCAGGGTTGCGGGGTTTCAGGGTTTCGGAATCGAAAGCTCTCCAGGTTCTGGTTTCTGGTATGGGGTTGGGTTTCCATGGCCGGGAGAATGGTAAAAAAAGTCACACGCGCGGCGCAGGTTTCCCGGACGAACGCCGCGTGCACCCTGAACGGACACCGTGCACCTTAGACGTGGCGCCCCTGCAATCTTGATAAGAAGCCTTAAGAGCCCAGAAAAGCCCTTACAGGAACCTTTGAACTTCCTGAAGCCGTCCTTAAAGCCTCGCCATGAGGAGTCCTTGACAAAGACCTTGGACTCCGTGCCTGGCCCGCAAGAAGGTGACCTTGACCTTAAGCCTTATACTGCCCTTCAGAAGAGGCAACTTTCCCGGGGAAGGGGGGGGGGGCCGGGGGGGCTCATCTGAGAGCGCACTGAGAGCCTATGCAGCTATGCATGTGTATCTAGAGATACTTGCGCAATGTCACGTAGTCCAAATGGAGCACGAAGCTACTCCAGAGCCCGCATGCGCGGGCGCAGAGCGAGTTCACACTTTCGCTGCCGGTCAGTTGTACGTGTCGAGGCCCTGCACAAAGACTCCTCCACTCGCGTTTTTGCTTGTGTCTTCCTTTCCGTTTCTCGTGGGGGGAGGTCTCGTCACTCGGCTTCCAGGGGGCTGGGAATGCTGAAAATGCCAGGTCAGCTCGGGCTCCGCGCGTCGGGCAGTTTCCACGTCCTGCACCATCTTCGGCCATTACGAGCAGCTTGGAGGAGTTTTTGGAAGGCTGATGATTTGGGGGCGGTTTAGGGCCTTTAGGGTTTCGGATTCCCTGACACTGTGACTCACACTCGTGCGAAGCAAAGCAGCATTTTCCGGGTTCGGGGTGGAACAGGATGGCTGGAGTCATCAGGGGTAGCTGACAAAAGGGCCAATGAAAAGAGACATCAGATGAGGGCCGAGTGTCTGAATCGGAGCTCTACACCCGAAACCATCAAAAAACCCAAAAAACTGAGCCTGAACTTTGAAGCGAAAGGCTTGACTGCCATGCTACGAGATGCCATCAGATGCTACGAGCAGCCCTCCTCCTCCAGAGTCCCTTTCTCACACGGCGAAGCACACGCAGAAGTGTTTTTCTGTCTGTTCTACATCCTGCGCCGATGAGTAGCTTCCGAGAACAAGACCAGACAGTGACGGAAGTGACAGCAGACAAACCCAGGAGAACCCAGTGGTTCAGGACCCTTAACTTGCAAGCCCTCAACCTCCCCGAAACTTAAGCCCTATGAACCCCTATAAGCCCCATAAACCCCCTAAACCCTAAACCAGTGTTCAGGAACCCAAAACATCCCAAAACCCTATAACCCCTAAACTCTATGGAGAAACATGTCCTCAATTTCGGCCCCCGCAGTGCTGTGGAGTGGTTCAGGACCCAGAATCGTCAGAATCCCCCGAACTCTGAAGCCCTTTAAGGGCCCTTAAAGGACTTAGGGGACTTAGGGACTTCGTAGGGTGCTACGTGCCTTAATTGGGGGGCTCTGTGTGAGAACGATCGTTTTCTATAGCTACCTCACTTAGACTCCTACTTAGCCACTTCGTCCCCTGATCCTTTAAGTGCCCCACTTGGCCCGGCCCGAGCCTGTCTTTCTGGTTTATCAGGCTTGTAGGGTTTGTATAGGGTTTACAGAGGGTTTACATAGGGTCTATATGAAGGGTTCATATAGGTTTTATAGGGTTTACAAAAGGTTCTATAAGGCTTTGCAGGGCTTGTAGGGTTCGGGCTGAAGCTTTCCGCCTTGAGGTGGGCTCCGACGGGCGACGGGCCCACGCTGACCCATCGGCTGAACATGGAGTTCCGGGACCCGAGAAGGGCCTCAATATAATTAAATACAGCTGCATGAGCCACATGGACACCCTGGGAGAAACACGTAGAGAGGGGCAGAGGAGACTCTTGGTTGATCTTGGTTTTCTGTAGAACCTCTCAGTATCTACAGGGGTTCTAAAGCTCATCTAAAACCGTCCGCCCGAAACATCCCCTTCAATTTGGTCCGAAAGGACATAGTGAAAAAGAAAATTTGCTCACAGTATTCTCGCGCCCCCGGGACTTACAGTAAATGCCTTTTTTTGCATCACCCTATGCACTCGAATACTTCCTAGTCTTAATGGTTCGAGGTGTACCATCCTTCGTTCCCCACTATCTGCGATTGATATGCAATACTCATATACCCCAAAGACATACAGATTCAAGCCTCCAACCCTATAGGGTTATAAGGTTCTGTTACGATAGGGTTTAGCGGGTTTAGGGCTTAAGGATGTACAACGTGAGTTTTGTAGGGCTTCAGGGTGCATCGTTAAAACGGTAAAAGGGGTCAAAACACTAGGGAGCACGGCTCTTCAAGGGTTTAGGGTTAAACCTTAAACCCTACACCTTTAAACCCTATAGTGTTCAAGGTTTAGCAATTAAACCTAAACCCTCAACCTTTAAACCCTATAGGGTTAAGGTTTAAGGTTAAGGGTCTAAGATTAATCTCTTCCCCCCCCCCAACATTAAACGCCCCCGGCAATGAAAACTCGAAATGCGTTTTTTTGATTAGGGTTTAGGGCTTAGGGCTGCTGTGGGAAACTCAGATTTCAGGGATCCTAAACCCTAAAAACCCTCTAAACCCCTTCAGGGTTCTTGTTGGCGGGTTTTGGGAGCCCTCAAACCCGGTAACTCGGAGGTTTTAAGTTGTGGGATGATTTCGAGTTTCCGGAATGTGTTTTTCTTAATCTCATCATCAGGAAGTGATTCATGCACTTAAACCGAAGCCCATGGAGTTTAAACCTCAAGGGCTTAAGGTTTCGGCATTTCGACCCGGACCCTAAACCCTTTAGGGATAGAGCCCTAAAACCCTATAGGGTTCCAAAATGTTTCAAGGTCTTAACCCTATAGGCTGAAAGTATCAATGCCCAGTCCTTAGGTTTAAAGGCATAAGAAGTTTAGGAATTTCACCCTTAGGTCAGGCAGGAAAAAACCACTTTACAGATGTAAGATCTAGGGATTTAAACCTAAGGTTTGGGCATTCAAAGCATTCAAACTGTAACCTTCTGGGCTTCAACCAACTTCCGGTCTTGTCAGGTATCTCTAAAACCCTATCGGGGTTAGCCCTTGTAGGACCCGAAACCTTCCAGGTGTTGAGCTACGATTTCTCATGAAGGCATCCATCAACCCTGGGACTATGTTCCGCACGACAAAGAACGTCTTGTTAATCTTGTTAGGAGTTGCGACTATGCTATTTCCTATGACTTCGACCTGTCTTGCCTATGCCCAAGAGTCCTGGGTAATCTTGAATCTTGGATCCGCCATTTTGAAATTTCAATGCGCCTCAATGTTTCAATGTGGCACTTCTTGAATCCAAGATCCAAGATTCCTCTCAAGAGTCCTGGGTAATCTTGGATCTTGGATCCGCATATTGAAATATTGAGCCGCATTGAGTTTAAAAAAATGGTGGCTTTGATGCGTGGAGTCAATGGGTAAGGAGATGACCTGAGATGGGTGGAAGGGGCAGACGCGAGGAGATGACCTCAGATGAAAGGGTGGAAAGGGTAAAACAACATAGATCTGGGGGGGGGGGGGGGGGAGCGGGGGGTACAAAACATTTAGGGCCAAATTTAGGGTTATTTTGAGAGGTATTTGTGTATTTTGATCCGACCTGGTAACCTCAAAAGCGCACGGGATGCCCTGGCAGGACCATACTTGCTGGGCCTATCGATCGCTAAGCTTCGCCAGACGAGCGACCAAGGCAGTTGCTGGGTTCTTGGGATTTAGGCGATTTAGGTTACAGCTTTCAAGTGCTTGGTGATCTGCCACAGAACCCCGATCAGTCAAATAAGCAGTCGCAGTCGCACGAGACAACGGGTTCGTGAGCTGCTTGTCTTGAGGGTGTCTTAGGGACTATACCTCTCTTGCTCTGCTTGCGACGTTTCACTGTCGACCAACTTTCCCAACACATCCCCACTTAGAGTACGTGAACATACGTGAACGGCAGACGAAACGAATCGAAGCGAAAGCAGAAGACTTGGCAGAACTTTTTTGCCCTTTCTTTTCTTTTTCTGTTTTCTCTCCCTTTTTCTCTCTCCTCCCTCCGCTCTCAGTCTGGCACGTCGGCCTGCCGGACTCAGTGCCGCAGCGCCCCTCGAACAGCAGCAGAGCAGCGCAGTCTACTTTTCTTTCTCGAAAGTTTAAGGTTAAGGTTTCTCTTAAGCTCAGGGGTTTTAGTGTTTAGGGTCCGGGCTTCAGGTTTTCAGGCTTGAACCGAATTTTCGGATTTTAGGATGTTGCTTGCGGAGTGTACGTTTGTTTAGGGTGTCAAACGAATTAGGGCATTGGGATGAGGAGGTGCCATAGAAGGAGGTTCACGGAAGGGGAAGGGAGGGATTGCCGCTTTGCTGATCTCCATTTATGGCTTCAGGACATTTTTCTTGGTACTGTGCCGACCGGAGGTGGCCAGAGGTTATCCTGAAGCCCGCTGGCAACATGGTATTCACGGTAGTCGTGACCATAAAAACATGATGTATCTACGTGGCTAGAAGGATGGAAAGGCTTGCACCTTGACACGCCTAGCCTCCTGCAGCTTGGACTCCCTCTCTTCCCCAAGATCCGCGCCAGCACGGGCCGCCCACGTTCCCGCAACCGAATCACCAATGGACCCTGAAAATTACTTCGCCCTAAACCCAGAATTGGGGGCGTTGCCAAAATTATGCCTTTTCTTTCGGAGGGGGGGAGGGGTCTCTATTTTAGAAAATTCCTACACCCTACACCCTAAATCCAACAGGGCCCTCATTCCTGTCCTCTCCAGGAGCCTCACTGCACGCACTACCGGTCTGAGTCCGGGAAGTGCCACTTCTACAGCCGCTCGGAGGGTTGAGGGTTTAGGGCTTATACGGTTTAGGGATATTCCGATATTTTTTCCCGAAAGCATGGCGAAGGGTTTTATGTTGGAGGCGTCGTCGTTTATTGCTGTTTATGCATGCTGAGGATGGCTTATGTCGTGGTCTATGCATGTCATGAGGATGGCCTATAACTTAGTTTATACGTTTTGATGCAGGGGGAGGGATCGGTGAGTTGCAATGTCGATCTAAAAAGCGCGTTTTTTCGTGGAGCTTCCTCACAACTCCGGCCGCAAACGACGACCCTCTCGCTGTCCTGGGCTTGTCGTGGCGCTGGCGCGCGGAGCGTCCTCACAAACGACGTCCCTCTTGCTGTCCTGGGCGTGTCGTGGCGCTGGCGTGGAGCGTTCTTGCAATTTCGGCCGCAAACGACGATGTCGCGTGGAGCGTCCTCGGGAGTGACCACATCTGTTGGGGACGCTACCGCGGAGTCTCGAAGTGGCCCCTTTTTTGCAAGGGGGAGTCCACTTCCAGTGGGAGCTCAACTTCGTCCAGGTCCACCTCTTGTTCCAGTTGCTCTCTGGAGGCATCCAGGTTGTGGGTGGCAATGGAGGATGGAGACGGATGGAGATTGTCAGCCTCCCGAGGTGGGGTGCCGACGCCCCCGGGCCGTGGCACCGGTGGCGCCTCTTCGTCCTCCGAATTTCTCTCCGGATCGCTTGTCCCGGACACAGACGTCCACGTCCATACAGTGCTTTCCACCATCCAGTTTAAAAACGTACTGGCGCGTATCCGGTATGAACACTCTGAGTGCCATGTAAGGTCCTGGAACTTCTCTTGCTCAACTGTGGATGCGGTGCAGACCGAGGCGGCGTGTGCACCGATTCCTCCGACTTCGGCTGCACGTACAAGAAGGCCAGCAGCCAAGACGAGAAGAAGGGGTCAGGCTTACCTTTAACTCCACGGCTGTTCCAGCTTCGGGGTGTTTAAAACAGACCCCCCTTCACAAACAGGACAAGAACCCCAACGTAGAACCCCGCATCGAAGCGAGCATGGAAGCGAGCGAAGCGAGCATCGAAGCATCGACGGATTCCGAGGTCGGCGTCCTGGAGCGCTACCCGGGCTGCGGCGAGCGGAATGGCTGCCTGCACCTCGAGCCCCTCGTCAGCCCTCGTCCTCGAAAACCTTTGGGAAAGAGAGGTTTTTTGGGCCGTTGAGGGTGCTGAGCTGCCTTTTTGTCTATGGGGTCATGGAAGGGGGGGGGGGGCCTTTTGAGGTTTCAGGGAGCTAGTCTCGAGAGCCGTTTGGGAGCCTCTCTCAGTTGAAGGGACCCTGAAACCCTGAATCACCCTGGAGCCCTGAAACCTAGCACCCTAACACTGCCTAACACCCTAACAACCCTCAACGGCCTTGAATCCCTCTAGCTGAAGCACCAAAACCACCCCCCACCTGAAGGAGCCTCCCCAATCTAACCAAAAAAACCCAAACCTCAGAAAAACTAAAAATGTGATAAACAAGCACAACATCTTAAAGCCCCCCCTTTTTGTAACCCTGACTAAAGGGAGGAAAGCTGCGGAAAACAAAGACAGCTCTGAGGTTGAAGGGGCACCACTACCTCTCGGGCAGGTACTGCCCCGGCGGTGCCGCCCGGTACAAAAACGGCTCGGAATGAAGGCCTCGCAGGTTTTGTTTAGGGTTTACGGGGCTTCTTTGGTTTGCAGGGTTCGGGTCATCCCAGTCGTATATGCTTCGACCCTGGCAATCTGGAAGCCGGGAGTTGAAAGTACCTACAGCACGTATTCAGATGCCAGCAAAGTACGCAGAAAATCTTCGATGTCATTGGTACGTAGTGACGTAGTGTAGACCGCTCTTAGACCCTTTGAAGCGCCTCGAGCGGGCTCCGAGGAGAATGCCGCAAGCTCCGGGCAAGGACCTGCCGCTGAGCGGCGCGAGGAGTTCTTTGGAGTTCGCTTGGGGCTTGGGGGGGCCTTTGAGGGGGGCCCTTTGAGGGGTGTTTGAAGGGCCTTTGGGACTTGGGGTTTGGGGTTTGGGTTGGTTTGTACCTATAGGGCGGTACCAGTAGTTTCAGGGCCAAGGGATTTCGGGCTGAGGCTTTGGGATGGCTTTGGGATGGCTTAGGGTTCCGGGCTCCGTTTTCTAGGGGCTTGGCATCGGCCCGTGCTCGGCTGCACATGATCAGGAGGGCATTTCGTAAGTAGGGATTCGGATAAGGGTTTAGGGTTACAGGGTTTAGGGTGCAGGGTTTAGGGGGTTTAGATAGTTGTAGTCACTTTACAACACCAAGTAAGGTACGTAGAACCCTACCTGCTAAGTTCCCTGATCCTCCAAGCAGGTGTACTTCAAGAAGGGCTTGGTCAAGGAGGCCCGATTTTTTATTTGGGGGGTTGATCAAAACTAGAGGCCCTTTTGGGTACCCTAAAGCGTAAGAAGTATACTAAGATGGAGACCCCCAAAAGGGCCCATGGTTTATTTGTCAACCCCCAATTCTGGGCGGGGCTTGGTCTGCGCCTTCAGGCTTCCAAACACGTTGCCACTTGCCACGAGAATTCCGAAGCACCGGGCAGGAAAGCTTCTGGCTGACGCGTTACGACACAAAGGGCGGCTGTCCTGGCCTTAGACCGGGAAAGCTGAAGCGCACGCTTAAGATGTCGATGTTGTGAGGCTCCAGCGGCGACTGGGTTCTCCACAAAGCAAAGCCGGAAGAGGCCCAAGAATGCCCGATGTTCGGATACCAGGTTCAGGTTGCTCTTTTCGCGGAGATTTGGTTCTCTTGCCCCATGAAAGCCTGTATTCATTGTATTCTCTTCTCTGAAAGGTCCAGGATTGAGTGCAGAAGTCGTCACGAGAGGAAGGCGTTGTGAAGACCGTCTCAGAATCGACCAGAAACTGTGGAGAAACGTCTGGACAAGCTTGGAAAGGCCCTGTAGCTCCTGTAGCTCCATGGTGGATTGTCCAGGCTTGATGCTTGCATTTCTTGGGAACTGGCACGAGATGCAGCAATGCAGGGCGGATAAACTGAGATGTGCATGGCGAAGCATCAACATTTTCTGATAGTTCAGTTGCCCCAACAGGATTACGAGAACTCGAGCATGGCTTACGTGGAGCTTCACGGGGATGCGGTTGCCTGCGTCAAGGGTTTGACGAGCGACCTGGTCACAGACTCTCGGCAGGAGGGGTCCCTCAAAATGCAGAGTTGGGGGGGGGGGGGGGGGGTGATCTAACTTATGGGCCCCTTAGGGGCTACGTAGTTACGTAAGGGATATACTACAATACAGACCCCAAACACGTCCATCATTTTGATCAACACGCAGTTCAGGGCTTGGCCATTGCAGGTATCTGCTACACCACTGTGACTTCTTACTCCCTTGCGTCTTGGAACTCGACAGGGGTCTTCGGAATAGCTGCTTGCACCCATGGCATTTCTTGGAATGGCACGGGCTGTTTGCGCAAGTCCGTCAAATGAGATCGCGGACAAAAGACCTGCGCATCGCAATCCACGGAACCGCCTTTGTCGCAATCCCGTCTTCCTTTGCCGAAGCCACGTCAGCAGACCACCTTGGAATGCTCTTGGGTGCTCTCATGTGGAGAAGCCGTCCGCACGTGGAGCAACGAACAGCAAGCGAAGCGTCCCAGGCTTGAAAGTCATGTTCTGCGAGTGCAGGTCAGTGTATGCGAGTCCCACAACAGTTCCCTAGCCCGAAACATAGAGAAAAAACTGCCACCTCGAATTTTGGGCAGATTACATCCTTACCACACATCGCAAGTCTCACCCTGCCACCACCCTTAAAAAAGTCACAGCAAAATCGCACATATCACCATGTCCCAGCGTTTTCGGGGTGGAGTGCTTACGCCTGTGCGCTAGCTGCCTTTGAGGCTCTATGCCCGTACTGAGTGCCGTGCGACATTCCACATTCCCAGTCACTTGCAGAGGTATCACGGTATCATGTGCACAATTGTGCACACATAGACGAATTCACGCTTAAGATCAACAAGCATGTGATGCTCTGGCACTCAGATCACAAAGAGGCCCGTGTGGCACAGGTTCCTTAACCATAGACACACCAGGCGGTGCACGCAGCAGCAGCATCCACCGACCGTACATTGCAGGACTGTCCTCGGTGCTACAGTATACTGATGTACGAAACACGTTGTATTGTTTCTATGTCTACCCCTCGCCTCTCTTTACGAGATACCTTAAGGCGAGCAGCGGCCGCATCTGCGAGATATTGGTATCCAACGCGTAATTTGTGCAGCCCACCACATGCCTTGGGCGCGAAGCGCCAAGCCCAAGCCCTGGCTTGGACAGATATTGCAGTGAGCCGTATTGGGCCGTATTGCCGTGAGGTGGTGCAAGAGTATCAAGAGTTCTCAAGCATTTCCCAGTCACGGAGAGAAAGGGGCCCACCAAGGACGTCTTTGGTCAAACAAAGGTGGACCTGACTGCGGGCGCCCGAGCTGCGGGCTTCTTTGGGAGAGAGCCTCCATTACCCCGGAAATTTCCCCAAGGTCTTTATCCTGGTTTCGGGGGGGGGGGGGGGGGGGGGCAGTCTCCGGTGCAGGCTCAAGTTGGCTCATTTCGGGGGTTTTCAGATTTTTGGGGAGGTGAGCAAGATCACCACATCCAGAGCCCGGGCCACCGTCTCGGCTCCCGGATGCGTGGCGCCCCTTGGATTCTATTCAGGGCTTGTAGGGCTTAGGGATGTTTAGTAGGGGATATTTAGGGTTGAAGGTTTAAGGTTCAGGGGTTGCAGGGTTCAAGATTCAGGGTTTAGGCCCACAGGGTCTTAAAAGCCGAGGCAAAGGACACAAAGGAGCACCGTCGTGCTGCAATTCAAGTCGCTAGCTATGGTAGCAGCTGGATCACCTTCAAACTCCTCAACCTCCAAAGCCCCAGAAAGCGCGAGACCCCAGGCCCAATGTCACAGCCGTGGATGCTCCAGAGGAGCAACCCGTACAAGCCTTGGCCTCCCAGCTGCAGAAGTTAGAAGAGGGCACGCGAGGGACTCGATCAGATCGGGATTCCTTACGGCTTAGTTGGGCCTCTCAGGAGCTGAGAACGAAGCGTTTCATGACTCTTAAGTGCTGTTCTCGACGGGAAGCAGCTGAAGGATGTTACTCTTCCAAGTTTTCCGGCAGTTTTCCGAGCTCAGATCCTGGATGACCCATCGACGAGCACCAAAGACGACCACTGGCTCCACCCGTGCGAGTGCGTGCCTCTTCCAAGCATCCCTTCCCCGCCCAAGAGCAGCTTCATTGAGGCATCGGCATGTGGTAGTTGTTCTAAACACTCGTCCTCAAAAAATAATAACTAAAGCTGGGTTCCCTTTTTGTTGTAAGGATTCCCCTGTTGTGGGACTCTTATCCCATGGCCCATCCCGTTAAAGGACCTTGAGAACGACCCCCCATGTGAGCTGCTTGTAGTTTAACAAACTTAAGCCCTGAAAATCCTGAAAGCACAACCTAGCAAAAGCCCGATGATAGGAACCCCTAAACCCTGAACCTTAAACCCTAAACACCCCTTTAGGCCCTAAAGCCTTCGTGCTCTTCAGGTGCCTCCAGCTTGGGGCTCGCTGCCACCCGTGTCCGGCCGCTCGAACCAAGATGGCGGGCTCTTCTAACATCTTGGAGTGCGGTGCGAGACACAAACGGAGTCTGGGGAACGCGACGGGGAGAAAGACCTCGCTGACCGGCCCTGCCCGAAATCCTTATGACCTGGCTTGGCTTTTGGTGCGGCTTGGGTTGGCTCGGGCTTGGCTTGGCTTGGCTCCCTTTATCCTAGGTGCGGCAGTTTCATAGGACCTCGATTTGTTGAATGTAGTAGGATCACAAAGGTTTGAATTAATGGGTTTGGAAGGGATTCATATGCGTTGCAGCAAGCTTGCCCGGCTAAAAAGAAGCGGAATAAACCGAGCCAAGACAAGCCAAAACCAAGCAGAGCCAAGCCGAGACAAGCCGAACCAAGCCGAGACAAGCCAAGCCGCACCTAAGCAAAAGAAGGGGGCCAGTAAAAATGTAGGCCCCGCCCGAAACATTTCTAGATGCCAAGCAGTGTCCTTGAAAATTTATTCCTTGTTATGGAAAAAGGGGAATGTATGTTCATAAGGACCCCAAAAAACGGCCGGTTCAATTGCAACGGTTGACTTGACATCCAGACAACATTCAGCAAGGCTGAAAGTTTTACACTCTTCGACCACATGTGCTTGCAACACTGCAAGTGTGGCGAGGGGAAGTTGACCACTGAATTTTTCATGAGTCCATGAGACCAGGCGAGGCTATTTCGGACATCCCAGCTGGCAGCAACAACGAGTTCATGGCCTCTCCGGCCATGATCGTCCGGAGCCCGGGCTACGGGGCTACGGGGCTACCACGCGGCTTTGGAGTTTGCCGACTCGGCGTTTAGAGGGCTCAGGTGGTTTCAGACAGTTCCAGCCTTTTGCTGGAGCTTGGATGGCTGAGGTGGATGGGCAGTTTGTCTGCGAGCAAGAGTATCCCGGCGAAGTTTCAGTGCTCATCCCATGTCCCAGTTGAGCGAAGCCCCTGAGTCCTTGGCGTTAGCGCTGGGTTTCGAAGTTCAAGTGCGCAACTCGCATCGGGTTGAGATCCTGAAAGACCGAAAGACCCTGCGCAGCCTGCACAGCTCCACTCGGCACAGCTGCTTTTTCCTTCTCTTTGCTTTTTGAGGCGCCAGACCGGAGCCTTCAACACTTCAACACCCCCCCGCCGCCCCCCAAAAAGGTACCTGACTGAAGTGATTGTGGAGAGCGAGACGGACGGCTTGGACGCCGCGAATTGCAAGACGCGCTGCATTGCCCAACAGTGTCCTTACTACTGGGAAGGCAAGCTCTCCAAACGAGGGCTTTCGGATGCTTTAGGGCTTTCAATGGCTTTCATTTTTGACCCTTCGTTGAATCCCACAACCAACCGAGGCACGTACGCAGAGCTAGGTGGGTTACGGGGTAGGTTACGGGGTTAGGTTAAATAGGGGGTGGTGGGCCGAAGTTGCGAGGTGTCCGGCTTCGCTTGAGGGTAAAATTTTCGAAGATGTGAAGCTGCAACTGAGCCGGCTTGGCATGGCGCGGCGGAAAGATAGGATGGGATTGGGAGTGCTCCCTCCCCCCCCAGAAAGCCCTTCAGAAATTCGCATCAAACCACGCAAAAACCCCCTCACAAAATGCACTGACAGGGCCATAGGGCCATAGTATAGGTATAGCATAAGTAACATAGAAGGTGTAACATAGAAGGCCCTATTTCTGGCGCAGGTGAGGTCATGTCCACGAAGCAGTGCCGCCTTTACAGCCAGTGCACTGAGCTCGCCCCTGGGCTCTCAGCCTTTTTTCGGAGAGGTGCACAGAGGCTCCAGAGGCTGATCTAAAGATTTCTCTCGGGGCGGGTGTCCGGGTGTCTCTGTTAGTAGGTTTTATAGTATATGTTAGTATACTCAAGATAACTTAGCAATGGAATAGGATCCTCAGAGTTGAGGGTGCCAAAACTGCCCCAGCCTCCACACTCCGCAGAAAGGCTTCGAGGTTTTTAGACTTCGACGGGCTCAATAGACCTAAGACACCGAAGGTCCGTGAGGTCGGCGTGGTGGGGAACCTGTATGGGATGCTGCTTGGCCGGCTTGGCCCCAGGCCCCATGCTCGCGCCTCTTCGCTTCTCCCTTTATGCCCTGTGAGTTGTTGTGCCACTGCGCCTCTCAAAGTTGTATACTGAATCACATAGCATCACTCGATCACTCGCTTTGAAGGCTGTGGTTGAGAGCTAGGGGAGCTGAAGGGTTGCAGCGTTTCGCCATCTCTGCGCTGAGGTCCTATCGCAAAGCCTGCAAAGTAGCAGATGCACAGCTGCAGCTTGGCAGGGTGGATTTAGGGCTCAGGGATGAAGGTGGGCCAGGGTTTTTGTTCTAAACGGTTTGGCCACAGGTGGTTTGGCTCTGGATTCCGCTTCGCCCTGGCCTCCTTTGGTCTCTGGTCATCCGGTCCGATCCTCGGTCCTCTGGTCCCTGGGTCCCCCTGGTCTCCTGGTCCTCCGGTCTCCTGGTCCTCCGGTCTCCTGGTCTTTGCTTCCCTGGTCCTCTGGTCTCGTGGTCCTCTGGTTCCCTGGTCTGTGGTCGTTTGGTCCTCCGGTCTTTTGGTGTTATGGTCCTTTACTGCAAAGTATGAATCACTTCTAAACCCACGATGCGAGCAAATGGAGGGTCTGCGCCCCCCCCTCCCCCCCGCCCCCCCCCAACCCCCCCTGCTTGTTTGAAGCCGGGTAAGTTTGCCAACCCATGATGTGAGCATTGCGTTTGCAAATGCGGGGGGGGGGGGGGGGGGGCCCCCGCACGCTTTAAGCCGGGCAAGTTTGCTGCAAAGCATATGAATCCCCTTTAAACCCACGATGCGAGCATTGTGTTTGCAGTGTTTGCAAAAGGGGGGGGGGGGGGCTGCACCCCCCCCCCCCCCCCCCCCCCGCGCTTATTCAAAGCCGGGCGAGTTTGCCAAACCCATGATGCGAGCATTGTGTTTGCAAATGGGGGGCGCTGCGCCCCCCCCCAACCCCCCCCCCCCCCCCCGCTGTTGCAAAGCCGGGCAAGTTTGCCAAACCCGTATGCGAGCATTGTGTTTGCGAATGGGGGGGGGGGGGGGGGGCCAAAGGCTTGGCCAAACCCTTTACAAAACCTGTTTTGGCCAAACCTTTCAAAAACAAAACCCCTCCGCCGGGGATGAAGGTTTCGTCAAAGGTTGCTCAGCGTGTCATCCGCATGGCCGGAGCCACATAGGACGCTAAATGCGCTTGAGCCGACGCTGAGATATGTGGGCTCGAATCTGGAGTTTCTACCGGCATGGGATGCTGGAAGAGTCCTGATGGGTTCGCTTTTTGGAGTCTCTGCTCCCACTTGCCACAACTAAAGCCTCCGATGGCAGGACGCTTCCATACACAAAGCCAACAACTCACACGGTCTTGGAGCGCCTCACACCGGCTCAGAATCCCATGACTTCTTTCACCAGGAGATGCCGCAAGAGTTAAGAGGGTGAGAACCTGACCTATGTGATCCTATGTGATCCTATGTTCACCATGGGGACAACCTGGCCATAGAAGGACTTCGCCCAGGCTCGTTGTAGCAGGGCTGCGAGATTGCAGAAGAGTTGGGGGGGGGGGGGGGGGGGGGGCGGGGCTTCCCCTAAACAGGCGTCAGAAACGGGTCAGAAGTAAAGCGTAGGCTGGCGTTCACATTACGCCCCAGGTGCTGGAAAGTCACCAAGCGCCGCTCCTTCCTCGGGGCCGGAGACGACTCGTACAAGTGCTTTCACCAGGACCCCCCCCATCTCTCCCCCTGCAAACCCTGTAAGAACTTTGCCCTCCATGTGCAGCGTTTTTAGGGTTTTGGGCTTGCGGTTCAGGCCTTAGGGTTTAGGGTGCAGGGTTTTGGACTCATGCGCACAGGAGTGTATCAGGAACGCCACAAGCTTCTTTTTCAAGCCCGCACCAGCAAGACTAAGACTGAGGTTGGAACCCTGCACTGTGCTTCTAGGTCGAACCCCTCCCAAAAACATAGCACCCTAAACCCAAAAACCCTAAGCCCAAAAACCCCTAAACCCAAAAAACCCTAAGCCCACAACACCCTAAGTGTGAAGCACAGAGAACTTCTTCGTCCTTTGTATGATGTTTATGATGGTCCTCGTATTGGCATTCAAGAATCATCTCCCATCTAGGGCAACCCGGACCCCCTTTTGACTCGTCGCAAGGCCTTCAACTTCCGCAAGGCATGTTCGGCCCATGCAGAGAAAACAGCTGTGGCTGTGCAGGCGGGCCCCCGGGGGTAGGGTTTTCGGGTTGCTGTCTTGTGGTTCCCTTAGTGTTTCATATTGGTAGCGGAGCCTGTGTGCTCCTTAGGTTAGGCTTAGGGTAGTGGGGACGAGCCATGTCAATCCCGTTCGATGGCGGCGACGGGAGTGTTCGTTCTGGGCATGAGCCTGAAGAGCCGGCTGAAAGGGGAGATCGTGAAGACGCCCCTCCTAGTGTGACCAGTGAAGGAGATCCCTGGGCAAAGCAAGGCTCTTGGGAGGGCCGACAGCAGAGCTCAGGGGCATGGGAGAGTCGAGATTCCGAGTGGGCGAACTGGCAAAGCCGTGCCGGTCATAGAGAATCTGGACGTTGGGAGTGTCACTATCAGCCAGATAGTGGGCGAGAAGGGAGCTGGACTGCCTCGACTGAAGATGCGAGCAATGCCCCCCGATGGTGGCGAGATCCTTGGCAGCCTCAAGCAGCTCCCTCGGCAGATGGTCGAGACGGCCGTTGGGACCCCGGTCTTTTTGGACATGCTCAAGAAGATCCCTGGGCAGATGGGCGAGATGGCCGACGGCAAGGGTACGATTATCCGCACCGAGATGAAGTAAGTGGAACCAAATGGACGAATGAAGACAGTACCACGAGGGCATGGACCGGCTGGCGGCACTTTGGCGGAGGCTTCCGGTCAGACGACCAAGTATGGGATGATCGCCCGAGGCCACAGGGGCGACCTTCCGAGAAGCTTAGCGTTCCCAGCTTCTCAGCAGAAGACGGCGATGATGTTGGGACCTCGGCAAGGTCCTACCTTCGACAAATAGAGGCCTGGCGAAGAATGACCTTGTTGCCTCCGCAGCAGCAGGGACTGGTCTTGTACCAGCACTTGGGCGGCAAGGCTTGGGTCGCCGCCGAGGAGCTCGATGTCGACCAGCTCAGCAGCGCCGGCGGTGTTAGCTACCTGGTTTCCTGGATCACGGCTCGCTTCTTGGACTTGGAGATCACTCGCATCGGGAAGGCCTTCTCGGAGTTCTTTCGGCGACTTCGTCGTCGACCAGGCCAGAGTATCCGGGACTATAACAGCGAGTACGACCGTCTCCACGCCCGACTCCGTGAAGTGGGATGCAACCTGCCGGAGGCTTGTGCTGCTTGGGTTTATGTGGACAGGCTTCAGTTGGATGAGACAGCTGAACTCAACCTCCTCGCGAGCGTCGGCAACTCGTACTCCTTGCAGAAGCTCCAGCAGGCGGCGGTCATCCATGATCGAGGACATCGCAAACCTTGGGAAGGCGCTAAAGGAAAGAAGCTGCACAACACCCACATGACCGATGCCTACGACGACTCCGATGCGGACTCCCTTGGAGATGAAGAGGGAGAAGGTGTTGCTGAGGAAGTAGCCACTGCCTATGTTGCCTTCCAGAATGCCAAGGCCAAGTACCGAGACCAGAAGAAGTCCCGAGGCTACGACGTTGCCACCGACAAGGACAAGGGCCGCGATGGAGGAAAGGAGGGCAATGCCAGAGAGGAAAGGATCCGCGCAATGAAAGCAAAGTCCTTCTGCTCAGGATGTGGAAGACGAGGTCACTGGCATAAGGACAGCCAATGTCCGAACAATCGGGCTGCTGCGAGCGGGGACGTCAAGGAGGTCGAGGTGTGCTACAACTTGCCCTCCGAAGTGTTCGCCGTCAAACACTCCAAGCACTCCTTGCTCGGCATCACGGACACCGCCTGCGCCAGGACGGTCGCTGGAACGAGATGGTTGCAGGACTACACCGATGCCCTCGAAGTCCTCGGGATGAAGCCGGCCTTGCACAAGGAATGCGAAGCCTTCAGGTTTGGGGCCGGCAAGGTCTACTACTCCTCCTTCTACGTGATCGTGTCTTTCGAGCTGGGCGATAAGATCGTCGAGGTCAAGACTTCCATCATCAGTGGCGACATCCCGTTGCTGTTGTCCAAAGCCGTGCTGGGAAAACTTGGCATGATCTACAATGTCGGGACCGGCGACGCCGACTTTGTCGAGGTCGGACTGAGGGGGTACCGCCTTGTCACAACTGCATCCGGTCACCCGGCAATCCCCATCGTGCCGGCGAAGCCAGCAGAGACGGGGGATCCACTCCTTCCGGTTGAAGACCTTCGCCTGCAGTCGCGAGAATACATGGTGTACGCCGTTGCTTGTGCTGCTGGGTCAACCGATAGGGGGTCTTCCATGTTGAACCTCTTCCACGACAAGAAGTTAGACCCTGGGGTCAAAAGTATGCTCATCCACCCCCGTTTCCAGCACAGTACTTTCCTATCTTGGTGGCAAGCTACGAAGGTCACTGGGGACTTCTGGGTTGAAAGAGACGACGCCTGGATACGAGTACATGTAACGCCGAGAAGGGCACAGTTCAATCCCTCCACATGGCGCACGCATTCTTCCATGCTGAGAGATATGTTGCTGACTAGCCTTGGGGACATTAGGAGCACAGAAGCGGTTTGTTGCAGTTCTGAGAAGTGGTTGGAAACTGTAGTAGACCGATGGACGGTTGAGAGCGACTCCGAATCTACACTTCCGCTGCTTTGGATTGGAAGGACTGTGCTCAGTAAGAGCTTCGGTCGGCCCCTGCCTACTCCTTCGCGACCGGCAGCCGATGGAGCCTCGAGCATGCGGCAATCCCCCGGCGATCAGCAAGATGACCAAAGCGCAGCTGTTGGAAGAATGCAATCGGGTGGGTCTCCTGGTGCACCACTCTTGGTCGGTGGAAGAACTCAAGTCATGCATTCAAGAACATCGGCAAGCGCACCAGGAAGTTGGAGCCAGAATGACCCGCCTTCACCAGATGAACATGGAGCAGCTTCGTTTACAAGCCAAGGAGCTGGGAATTCAGTTCGTCTCCAAGACCTCAAAGGGGAGCCTCCTGAGGATGATTCGCGACAACATCAACACCCCAGCGGAGACCCTGATGCCCATCGGAAAGTGGAAGGGGCTGCAGTACAAGGAGATTCCGAAGGAGTACGGGGAGTGGTGTCTTCAGGAACTCAATTCGAACTCCGACCCGGACTTCGTTCGCTTCGCCCGGTGGTACGAGAACGACAAGAAGGCCAGGGAGCGGAGCTATGTCGGGACAGGGAGCGACATGTCAGCACCTTTTCCTCGGAGTCCGACTTCCAGACCGGGAACCTCGGCGGTAGCGACAGGCTCATCGGATCAGATGTCATCGACAAGGACCGATTGGTCGGTGGTGTCAGCTGCGATCTCCGAGAAGCAGAGGGTGATCCCCGTCGAAGCAACGCCCAACAAGAAGCGAGCCGGGAATGCCGAGACAACCAGGATGGAGGCGGAGATCGACGAGGAAGCCCTGGAGGAGATCAGGCGGCTCGAGGCCCAGCTTGCAGTGCTCAAGAACAAGGCCGGGTATCCGGGAGCAGACCATGGCCGTCAGTGAGGGACTCCGGGAACTCCTGCGAGCGACGAAGACGCCAAGGATGCTGTGGTGATTTCGACTTGCAAGATGGCATCACCGAAGAAGAGATCCTCCTCGCCTCCAAGAATAACTGCACCTACCTGATCGCCGAAGCCGAGGAAACCTACGAGGGGCCGCTTGTCAACCCGTTGCTTAGCCAGGCCCGTAACGCCTACGTCAACGGTGACTTCTCCTTTTCCACATGTCGAGAGCTTTTGGAAGGCGCTCGTCTTTTGAGAAGCGCCATGAGTCGAGGAAGTGCCTTCAAGCAACAAGACCAAGATCCCGACAAGCGCCCGCATGAGCATACCCTCTTCGGCTTGTTCACCCATGGTGGCGTTCATGGTCTTACCAAGGCGACGGAGTCCAATGACTGGGTGGCTCGGTATGTTAATGCCTTCGGAAAATTCCATCTTCCAGAAGGCACCACTTGGACATCGGTGTCGGTGATGTGCAATGTCGCCGCCGGTGTGCGTTGCGACTACAACAACAGTCCCGACTCCTACAACCATGCTATTAGCTTTGGACAGACCAAGGGTGGAGAACTATGGATTGAGGAAAAGATCGAGGGTCAAGAACAAGGTCTTCGTCAAGATCTCCTATGGAAGAAGGACAAGCAAGGCAATTGGATTCCCGGGACTGTGCAGTCGACCCTGGGCAACTTCAAGAGCTTCAAGCCAGGGCTGAAGCATGCGGTCCTCCCTTGGGAAGGGGACCGGTGGAGCCTTGTGTACCACACCACCAGGAGCATCACTAAGATCGGCAAAGAAATCCGTGACCGCCTCAGAAAGACCGGTTTTCCTCTCCCTCGCAAAGGGCGTCAAGACCAATCAGGCGAAAGACAACGTGAAAAGAAGCCGAACAAGCGAACAAGGAACGTTCTCGCCGCGAATGCCAGCAAGATTGGGGTGCTCCTCACCACGCTCGTCGCCGCGGTCACTTCCTATATGTGTGACTTCGGCATGCCCGAGGTCAAGCCCGACCCCATCGTGATGTTCGAGATAGGCGGCCTAGATGGAACTTCAGAAGCCGTCGACCTCGGGAAGGCCGTCCTCGAACCTATGAGCTGGGAAGATTATTCGGACCCAGACAGGCAGGAGACCGCCTACCACTTCGTCTGTGCCGCCTCTCCTAGGGAGTTACGTCTCCACATGCACGATCTACCAAGCAGCGGGTGCGAGGCAGTCATTGCACTGATCTCACGACAGCTTGACGATGGGGGCTGCGTGGTCCTTCAGGGAGAAGATCTTCATGGCATCGCCGACAAGTTCCCCGAGTACATCCGCTACCGGCAAGGAGATGGGGATACCGCTTGGGTCGTCCTCGAAAGAAAGAAAGAGGCGCAGCGGACTGTGCCGAGCGATTTCCCGCCGTACAGTGTCTGCGTCGTTGGAGAGGCTGCAGAAGAAGACGAACGACAGCCAGCCGATTTTGTCGGGAACGGATCAGCGATCACCTTCGACACTGCAGCGAGCTCACTGATCCAAGGAGCCCTACGGCGACTCCACCAGAACCTAGGTCATCCGCGATGTGAAGATCTGGTGAGACATCTGAGGTTAGCCGGATGTGAACCAGAGGTCCTCAAGGTTGCCAAAAGCCTGAAGTGTCAGGTTTGCGACAACACTAGCAAACCTAAGATTGCGAGACCCAGCACGGTTCCGCGAATGCTGGACTTCAACCAATGCGTCGGGGCTGACCTCCTCTTTGCTCATGACGTTGACGATGTCAGGCATACCTTCCTCAACCTCGTCGACTGGGGCACCTCCTACCAGGTCGTTGTCGAGATAAAAGGAACTTCTGCTCCCGACTTGGAAAGGGCGTTCAACGATTTCTGGTTGACACCCTTCGGCCCTCCGTCAACGATGTCAGTGGACCTAGAAGGAGGACTACAGAAAGGATTGGGAAGGCTTTGCGATTGGCACAACATCAAGGTCAAGCATGTGGCGGCTCAAGGACACTGGCAAGCAGGCATCACCGAGCGACAGGGAGCCTGGTGGAAGGATATTTGGGAAAGAGTCGTTCATGACATGAGTATCAGCAAGAACGAAGCCCACCTCGCAGCCACATGTGTGACGAGTGCGAAGAATCAACTCCGGAGACGTTGCGGCCACAGCCCATTTTCGTGGGTTTTCGGTCGTGATCCCCGCATGCCTGAGGACCTCCTCGACCCTGACTCCGGAGAGAAGGTCACATGGGACGTGTCGGCGGAGAGCAAATTCCAACGACAGATGGCGGTGAGGTCAGCAGCCAGAATCGCGTTCCACAAATCGCAAGGGGACGATCGTCTTCGCAAAGCTTTGATGCAAAGAGCAAGGACCACATCGCGACCCTATGAAATTGGAGAGCCTGTTCACTTTTGGCACCAGCCAAAGAACCGCCGAAGGGGAAGGTGGGCCGGACCAGCAGTGGTCGTCGGCAATGAAGGCGGTAACTACTGGATCAGCCGCAATGGGCGATGTCGCTTGACAGCTCCAGAACATCTACGACCATCAGGACCCGAAGAAGTCGGCGAACTCCTCCAAATGCGCGGCGTCCAGCGCGAAGTGGCCCGACTGCTCGAGGCAGACCTCGATGAGGATGACACCTACGACGGCGACCAGATGGTGAGTGATCTAGATCTCGACCTACAAGGGTACTCGCCTACCGAACTCGATCCGGACGAGGAGATGGCCGTTGCTGAAGAGGATCCGCTTCTAGATGCAAGCGAAGGAGTCGTATTAGAAGCCGACGAAGGAGAAGAGATGAGGAGGCCCACAAGACGACTCAAGAGAAAGACAGCGCCCGGAGACGTCGACTGGGACGCTGAACCGCACCAGGCCATGATCATGAAGCGAGACCTCACGAAGAGAGGGGTGGAAAAGCGCCAAGAGAAGGAGCTGAGGTGGAGCGAGATTCCCAATGACCAGAAGGAGCTCTTCAAGTCCGCAGAAAGGGTGCAGTGGGATGAACACATCTCCTTCGATGCGCTCGAGGCGGTGTCCCTCGAAACCAGTGACTGGATACGAGAAAATATCTCGTCTGACCGGATCCTTCGCTGCAGATGGGCCTATAAAGATAAGAACTGGGCCAGGCGAAGGAATGCTGGAGCTGACGCCCCGAACATCCCATGGAAGTGCAAATCGAAGCTTGTGATCGCCGGGCACACTGACCCCGACCTCGGAAGCTCGCAGTTGACCACCGACGCTCCTACCTTATCACGAACAGGATTGCTTTGTTTGATGCAACGACTGGCCAACGGACTACGAGAACAAGATCCTTGGACGGTCTCTGCGGGCGACATCAGGTGTGCTTTCCTCACCGGAGGGTACCTGAGGCGAGAAGAAGAACTCTTTCTTCACCAGCCCAGCACTGGCTTTCCGGGATTACACCCACGGCAACTGGTGCGGATAAAGAAGAACATCTTTGGCCTTGCCACTAGTCCCCATGAGTGGTGGCAGGACCTGCAAAGTGGAATTCTCGACATGGAGATTGAGCACGAAGACGGGGTGTTCAAGTTCTGCCAGTCCCCCATGGACCCTTGTGTTTTCGCCCTTCGCAGGTGGGATGGCAAAAAGTTCTCCGGGCGCGCCGTGGCATTCGTCGGCACGCATGTGGACGATCTCTTGGTTGTTGGCCCGGGAAGCTTAGCCGAGAAGATGAAGGAACAGCTGTCGCGGGCTTTCCCCATCGATAGCTGGGAACAAGATGTCTTCAACTATGTCGGGGTGGAGATCGTATGCACCAAGGACAGCGTCAGGGTGAACCAGACGGGCTATGTGGACACTAGGTTGTTCCTTCTGCCTCTTCCAAAGGGGTGTCGTGACGAAGACCTTGCCGGGGTCGACCTCATCGCCGACAATAGGTCACTCGTGGGGGCCCTCTCCTGGGTCTCCGCTCAAACAAGGCCTGATCTGACTTGTGGAATAAGCCTGGCTCAACAAGTCCAGAAAGCCCCGACCTATGGAGACATTCGCTTCACGAACAGCCTATCGATTCGAGCCACTCAATACAGAGATGCTGGCCTGGAGTTCCATCCCCTGGACCCCGACATGGTCACCCTCGTCTACCACGACGCCGCCTGGGCGAACGCGTTCGAGGGCGACATCGGTGAAGAAGGATTCGAGCTGTATGAGGACGACAAGGTTGCCGGCCTTCAACGAGACGTTCCTCCTTCCTTTCATGCTGGGCGGAAGGCTAAAAGGCAGAACTCCAGAGTTGCATCCCAGCTTGGCGGATTGATCCTGTTTGCCAACAAGACCAGTATTGGACGTCAAGCCGGCCATGTCAATGTGGTGGACTGGAAAAGCCGAGCAGGACAGCGAGTTTGCAGGAGCACCTTTGGAGCTGAGACCCAAGCCTGTGTCGAAGGTTTGGAAGGAGGACAGTACGTCAGGTCCTTCTACGAGTCCCTGGTGGAAGGCGAAATCATCGAGGTGCAGCAGGCCAAAATGCCCCTCCTCTGTTTGAGCGACTGCCGCTCTCTCTATGACCACTTGCACAAGCAAGGGGTGCCCCGTGTCCCGCAGGATCGTCGCCTCGCGATAGATCTAGCAGCTCTTCGCCAGCAATTGAAATTCGAACGTTGGAGCTCTAAGCTCCCCCTCGCCTGGGTACCGAGTCCAGCTCAATTAGGCGACATACTTACAAAGCCTCAAGATTCAAAGTCTTGGTGGGCAAACATTGCTGCGCAGCTGCTTATTCCAGTTGCCTGCGACGAGGGAGATGGCTTAGCCAACAGAAGGTTTGTCATAGATGGGAGAACCAGTGTGAAGCACAGAGAACTTCTTCGTCCTTTGTATGATGTTTATGATGGTCCTCGTATTGGCATTCAAGAATCATCTCCCATCTAGGGCAACCCGGACCCCCTTTTGACTCGTCGCAAGGCCTTCAACTTCCGCAAGGCATGTTCGGCCCATGCAGAGAAAACAGCTGTGGCTGTGCAGGCGGGCCCCCGGGGGTAGGGTTTTCGGGTTGCTGTCTTGTGGTTCCCTTAGTGTTTCATACTAAGCCCTAAGCCTTATGTAAACCCTAAGAGCCCCAAAACCCTGAGCCTAAACCCCCCCGAAGGATCTGATCCAGCAGTGCGACCAGAAGCTCATGCTGGGTGGCCTCGGGGTCAGCGCCTGCGGAGGTTGTGAGTATGTCGCTTGGACCTTAGGGTGGAGAGTTTCTGTTTTGCTTTTTTTGTGGGGGGGGGGGGGGGGGGGGGGGAGGCGGGGGGGGGGGGAGGCGGGGGGGGGGGGAGGCGGGGGGGGGGGGAGGGGGGGGGGGGGGGGAGGCGGGGGGGGGGGGGGAGGGGGGATGAGGGTTTAGGGCGTGTGGCGTCTGTGTTGGCCGCCAGACGGAGGTGCAAGTAGCAGGGGCTGTGCGCTTGCGCGGCTGAGACATGATCTCTGTAGCGTTAGCTCCCCTGCGACCACAGAGACATCATATCCCTGCCGTAATGCCGATTCCCAAGGCACCTGTGAAAGGGAAGCAGATTCTCAATGCCGACGGAGAGTGCGCAACGGTCGGCAGCAACAAGAACGTGCTGCCTGGCTGAGAACATTCCCTGCTATGAATCAAATCAGGGTTTCTGGCAGTCTGGCAGTTCATAACTCCATCATATTCAGCGTTTTTTATCGGGATCCAGTTGTAGTGGGAATCTGCTCTTTCTGTGTCCCTTGAATAAGCGGGGTCGAATAGAGGTGTTGCTTAGACTCACACAGCAGCTCTTCGACTTCAGGTTCAGAGCCCCCAGTTCCTCCAAGGTACGTGGCGCCCTGCAACGATGGAGACAATCAGAAGCCCCTCGGACCTGCAAAAAGCTGTAAAAGGTGGGTCTTAAGGATTCTTAAGGGAGTTTGAAGCTCTGAGCGGAGCAGCCTCCCGGAGCATTTCGACTCACCGTTGTCAGTTCTTGCCGAAATTTGCTAAACTTCCGGGTTCTAAGGAACTTAAACAAAGGTACCATCACAACGAAGCCATATCATACACTATGTAACTATGGCAAGCTTCGTATGGTAACTTCAACTCAAGAGCCCAAAAGAGCTTGGCTCAGCTTTTTGGAGCCCTCTCAAGTTCTCCCGAAGTTCTCCTTTAGCCCCCTGAGAGGTGGTATTTCGATGGTGAGCAACTGAAGTCGGAAGGCTTGACATCGAGCTGGCGCCTTGGCCTTCTCCTCTCGTGGCGTCTTTATAATTCGCCTCTACTTGCCAACCTCAAAAGCCTTCTAATGTTGGTAGGGATCTGTTCAACCTTTGTACGCCCTGATTGTTGGAGAAGTTTCAGGCCCGTTCGGAGCGGCAGAGCCGGGCCATGGTGCTTTAACGCCCATGCGTTTGGGGGTCCGAGCCTGATGGCTAGCGCCAAGATCTCCTCAGACTCAACACTACTTGGAGGTTCATGGGTGGATCTAAGGTAGGGGTACCCCAAACAGGGTTATAACTAGCGTTACCCTACTTGTTCCCCCGTGAATCCCATGAACCTCGAAGTAGCCAGTGCCCTCAACCTCAGGTGCCTCGACAAGCCATCAACTGGCAACCTTTACATGCACAGCTGCCACACCTATTCCAACCAGAAGTGGCAGCGCGGCTAGGGTTCAGAAATTCAGAATACGGGGTTTGGGGTTTTGGGTTTTGGGTTTGGGTTTGTTGGGGGGTTTTGGGAGCTTCCAATCTCAGCCCTTTAGGGGCATGTATGCTACACCGACGGTGCGCAGTTTGCAGCAAGCAGCATGTACAACTCGTCTCCTGTTTGGTGCCGCAGGACTTCTTGGAGGGTTGTAAATACCTTAATTGGGGCTATAAGTGATTAGAACTATAGTTCCCTTACTCATATCCCTACGATGTCCCCTGATCCGTTAAGTTGACACGCAGCACCGAGGCGGATTGCTGTGAGAGCTTGAAACATCTCAGCAAGTACAAGATGGCCATTCACGCGAAAACCCCAAAGCCCACAACCCTGCGAGAGTCGGTGATTTCTGTGAAGGGGAACCTCGCATTCCAAGATCCTACCTTTTGTCTAGGCGGGCCCATGGGTAATTGCCCTTGCTTGGATTGTCCAGAAAACCCTCATTTAGAAATATTGTTCAGAGGTTGTAAGGTTTGGGGTGTGTATTGTTCAGAGGGTTTCTAGCGCCAGGCCAGCTTAGGATAACCAGGAGCTCTGAGAAAAGACTCGTGGGCCACACTCTGCTAGCAACTTCTCCCAAGCTGCAGGCGCAATGGGCGACAAGCTAAGCCCTAAACATCCCTAAAACCCTAAGCATCCCTAAAGCCCTAAACATCCCTCAACCCTAATACTAATACAATCCCAGCAGCAACAACAGCCAACCGGCTCCCTGGACGCCGTGGAAGCTGGAAAAGCGCATTTTCTTGCAAACACAGACGTTTTCATCGGCATTTATAGTGTTTTCGCTTGTTTGAAGTACCTCTTTTGCCAGCGTCGAAAAGGGCAACTTGGGCCAACAAATATTTTGTGTTGAGCAAACAACAGAGATTACCAAACACAGCAACAAAGCACAACGGCAGCAGTGGTGTGGCAGCGGGCGAGACAAACCTAAATCTGATAACCCTGAACCCCAAACCCTGGTGCACTGTCGGCGAGGCTTTTGGCACCCTGCACCCCAAACCCAACCCCAAACCCTACAGTGCGGCGTATGGGTATCTTGTGACACTAACCCTAGAAAAATTAGGGGTCGCTTCTTGGGTAGGTTTGGCCTTTATTCCTCCTGAACCTCGGAAGGGTGTACTCTAGCCTGTGCGTACTTTCGGTGGCACTGCTGGGAAATACTCAAGACTTCCCTCTGCCGGGCGTAATGCCCGTATAGAGAGCGCGAGACGCCAAAACACAAAGGGACTGTCAATATCGAGGACTTGAACATACCCTGCGAACCAAAACTCCATCCTCAAGCAGCAAGTCTGTTAAAACGAAAGACAATCCCAATAGTGCAAATCAACATTGTCATGAAATTTCGGGCGCACCAACCCACGTTTCGGGTTCTCAGGTTAAAAGAATAGCCTTCCCGACATGGCGCTGGTGGCAGTGAGAAATCCCAATCCTTCAGGCATGGATGCTCGCCAAAAGGACGTCATTACCTCCATCCCCCCCCCCCCCAGTTTTGGTAAGTAAGGCTCGCGAAGGATCGTCGCAGGCCAGAACCCGACGACCCTTCCACGGCATTTTTTGGGAGCTGCCCGGCAACAGCAACAACAAGGAACAAAGAACCCTACACCCGAAGCCCTAGGCCCTAAGCCCTAAGCCTAATCACCACAAAGACAAGGAAAGAAGAGCACAACAAAGCTCGCAGCATCCTGAACTCTGAAGTTCCAGGTACTTCCTGCCGGAGCACGGTCACCTGAAGTCCCGGGATGGCAACGGGTGCGTGGATTCCCTTCATGCCGGCAGCAAGAATATGAGCCTTGCCTTGGAGACCCGCAATAGAGGATCAGGGGGCTTTGTAGAATTCTTTCAGTAAGGAAACTATAGTCATCATCACTTGCAACCCCAATTCAGGTACTTACAACCCTACTTACGAAGCCCGACAAACAAGTATTGATGTGTTGGCCCATCTTGAGAGACCGTGGAGGCCTCCTCATTGTTTTGGATAAATTGTACGGTCGATGGGCTGGCGGACATTTCTATCTTTCTGAGGATTTTAGAGGATTTCAGAGGCCGTGCATTTTGGCGGGCTGCAGCGAGTTGGAGCTCTAGCAGTAGACGCACAGGAGGCTGCCGAGAGTATTGCTGTCTTTTTTCCGCCTGGCGCGGCAAACAGTGACAGAAAAGATATCGAGCTCAGGTATGTCAGCAACTGCCCATGGAGCGATCGGTTGGAATGGACTTGGCGCCAAGATGCGCCTAGAACACATTCAAGGTCGAGTCGAATTAAATTCTTAAGTTGCTGCAGGGCTTCGCCCAGATCCCGACCCTCTTCTATCGACCCCATAATAATCGGAGCATAAGGACCCCCCCCCCCCCCCCCCAAAGATTTCACGAAGCCGTCGCTCCCAAGTCAAGTAAGTGTCTTAGGCAAGGTGTCGGACTCCCAAGCAAAGAGTGAGCCCTCAACCCTCAACCCTCAACCCTCAACCCTCAACCCTCAACCCTCAACCCTCAACCCTCAACCCTCAACCCTCAACCCTCAACCCTCAACCCTCAACCACATCCCTCATCCGTTCATTCCATGGGGTTCTTTGGGGGTCATCAGTGCCACTTGCTGGTTGATAACAATGATGGGGGCCGTTTTGGGAGTAGGGTCGGTTTAGGGGTGAGGTGCCTGTTTCGGGGGTCTCTCTTTGAGTATATGCCTTGTAGTTTAGGGACCCCCCCCAAAAGGGCCTACGATCATAAGGACTTGAAAGAAAGGGCCCCTAACTGTTGTCAACCCCCACTCGTTGCTTCTTTTTTTTTTCTTTCTCGTTTCGCCTCTCATCCTTGTGGGCCTTCGTGTCCTCCCCCAACACTGCCTTGGTCTACATCCGGCTGCGTCGTTCCGCGCCTGACCCCCGAAAAAGGGGTCCGTCTTGGGGAAATGAACCTTAAAGGGTCATATACCTCAATAAGGGCTGAATGGCCTGGGCGAATGCTTTGAGCTGTGAGGTTCATGGCGGCCAGCAGATTGTGACGGATCACGAAAACAAATGCCTCATCCACGACACCAGCAACAACAATGTCTACGTAGGCCTGCCGACTTTTGCCTTGGGCACCTTCCAAAGTGGCTCCTTACCCTGAAGACATTACAAACCCTGAGCCCCTCACCATGCAAGAGGAAGCTGCTCCGTGGACTTCTCGCACCGCTGGTACTGGGACGGCGTGCCGTAGCGGGAAAGGGTTAGGTTTTCGGGTTCTTAAGGGAAGGGGGGGGGGGGGTCCAAGGTAAGGTATGTAACCCATTGTAACCTAACAATTACCTAATACTCCCCACTACTCCTTCGGGCTCCCGAAGCTTCCCTAGGGTTTCCCGAATCCCTCGGTACCGAGGTTTCTCTCCTAGTTCAAAAAATCATAAAGCCAATGAAGAGTAGAATCTACATGAGTCCACATACAGCTGAGTAGAATCTACCTCTTACTAGGAACAAGCAGCAAAGAATTAAGCTAAAACCCTCAACCCTCAACCCGCAAACCCTCAAAAAGCCCCCCAAAAAAAACCCTAAAAACCCTAAAATCCTAAAAACCCTAGGAACCCTCAAAAACCCTACAAAAAGCCCCTAAAAGCCCCGAAGTCCTCCCCAAATTGTTTGTTCTCTTCCAAAACAAATGCCCTCAACCAAGGAGCGGCTCAAGTCCGAGGCCAGCACCTCCAGGTGCCTGGACGCGCCCCCTGGCCGAACCCAAGGAAATTCTTAGGGTTGAGGGTTTAGGGTTTAGGGTTTAGGGGGCTTCGGGTTTAGAATCGTGGTTTAGGCGGTTTAGGGTTCAGGGTTGAGGGTGAAGGAACGTAAATTCAGCTACCATAATCAGGAAGCCATACTTCAAAAGGATCAGGCAAGTTAGTAAGTAGGGTTCTGAGTAAGGTTACTGTAGTTGTAATCACATATAACCCCAATAAAGGCACTTCAAGCCCTACTTAGGAAGTCCCTGAATTTGCAAGCATTATGTGCTTTAGGACCGCATCATGGTAACTTCCTCAACAAGAACCCAGATTCCTTAAAGGATCAGGAAACTTTGTAAGTAGGGCTCTGGGCAACGCAACTATACGGAAAACCACTGCAAGCCGCAATGGAGGCACGTATAGCCCTACTTACTAAGCCCCTTGATCCTCCAAGTGTTCTGTGCTGTAAAGCCTTACTATGGGAACTGCATTTAGGTTCCTTAACCAGAACCCAGATAAGAGGAAGACGAGCCTTTTTTCTTCTCTGTTTTTTGCATATGTCTCTGTTTGGCAGCTTTTCTCTGCGAGCTGAGGAAAAGAGTCCTTTCTTCACGAGGATACAAAATCATGTATAGTCTTTCTTCTCGGCAAAAGGGTGATCTATTTTTTGGCAGATGTTTCTCCGGGAGCTCTACCCCTATAGCGCTTAGTTGCCATCTACACCTCAAGGATGAAGGGTATAGTGTTAGGCCCTGTTAGGCTGTAGGAATGAAGGCCGTTTGTTCGCCTGAGCCGTGTGGCAGGGCCAGCAACAACAACCTGTACATGTGCCTTGGGACCGCAGTCCGGAGCCCAAACGCCAAAACACCCGAGTCGTCCCTCCAAGTCGCGCAAGCACTCTTCCCCATCGTAGTCGGGTTGAGGCCGTTGAGGTTCTTTCCTTTGCATCTCGCTCGCCCTTCAAATGTCTGCTGTGCTGAAAAGCCCAGAAAGTCTTGAGCCAAAGGCCCATCAACCCAACGCCCAAACGCCTAAATGCCCAACACAGCTCCCGCATTTCAACAGTCCAGGCACAATTGCCACAGCAGCAACAATCAGAAGTGGTACTTCGATGGAAAGCTGCTGAAGTCGAGGCGGGGCACGACATGCGGTTCTGAATAGAGTCACA